TCTTAATTGTCATTTTCGTCTATATCTCCATCAAATATCTCTTCTTTCTGACTCACTGGTGTGAAATACCCTGTTCGATCGATGAGCGAGATATTGTCACCGGTTGTTGTTTCAACCTGACAAATCCCGACGTGCGCAGCCAGCGCTCACTTGTTTACTTTCGCACGGCGTAATGGCCCGGTACGCCGCGTCCTTTGTAGCTGACAGACCTAATTTGATTAGCTGCCATCCAATGTCGCAAATCCGACCCGATCCTATCCGCGCCAATCACGGCAGCTGTTCTCCGGTTTACAATTGCCCACGCTATGCGCGATCGCGAAGAGCACGCACTACACACACGAATTGATCTGGACAATGATATCCTGGGTCTGGACGGCTTTGAGGGAATCCGCTGGAGAAAGTCGCGATGAATAACCTATGCCAAGAAGTGGTACCTTTCACCGATCTACATCTATCACTTTTCTTGTCTATATTTACCGAACGAGCGACGAGTTTCTCCTCTTTGATCTAATGAAATGGCGCTACTCGGGTTCATTGCTCGCTAGAGGTTGTCGCAGAGAGTTGCCTCTCCGTCATATGCGCCAATAACATCGCCTCGACGCGCGCACCTTCCGATTCCCGCATCAACTTTCTTTACGTTCGAGACGCGCTTCGGTACAGCCACTTTTCAGACCACAAAGCAAGACCTTGACGCTGAAGGTTTTGAAGGGTTACTTTGTAAGTGGTCCCGTTCTTTTTTGGGTTAGAGGGAAGGTGTATGGAGCAATCCCGAGGTGTCTGACAGTGGCATCATGAACGAGCGACTGATGGTTTGAAACAAGCACATCCTGAGATAGGGCTGACTCCTCTGACAATCAGCTCAGATAGCCACCCCGGTGTGTGGCTGGCATATGTAACAAAGATCTGTGCCTAGGAGACCTCTCAAGCTGCCCGTCGTCGTTGTCACTTCAAATTGTTTGGCAGAGCATTCCCCGTTCGACGAGGTCAGCCCCTCCACGCGACCGTCGTTTCGGAACTTGCGTTAATCGCATATTGCAGCAAAAGATGTTTGAAGTTATCATCTACGGGACTGAGTACAACAACACAAAACAAAGACTGAACATTAACATACAATAACCAGGCCAGCCCCACTTCATTGCGCCTTCTTGGCCTCTTCGATGAATTCCAGTCCCTCCAGACTACCAAACTTGGCGAACCACAGGTCTTGCAAATAATTGTCCCGCGGCACCCACGGCCCCTGATCTGCAGTCTTAGGCAGATTCTCCGCCGCACGCACCACATACGTCGAATTAAGGTTCATCAGCGGCTTTCGCTGCAAATTCTGGGCTTCGTCAGGGCGCAACCGCGGCACAGCGGCAGCCTGTTCACGGGTGTCCAGTTCGCGCAAGAAGCGACACAGGAAGCGGGCAGTCGCATCGGCGCCGAGTGTCCATGAAGCGTTGGTATAGCCTAGAACGAAAGCAGCATTGGGGATATCCTGCATCATAATACCACGCCAGAGGAACTTCTGGGATAGGTGCTGTGGAATACCGTCTACCGTGATGGAGGCTCCGCCCGCTACCTGCAGACGCAGTCCCGTTGCAGTGACAATAATGTCAGCCTCTAGGGTGTTTCCCGAGTAGAGCTGAATTCCCGTTGCGGTAACGGTCTTGATGGTGTCGGTCCGAACGTCGGCCACACCGTGATGCAACGCTTTAAAGAAGTCCCCATCGGGGCAGACACACAACCTTTGGTCCCAGGGATTATAACGCGGCACAAAATGTGGTGCCAGAGACACCGCCTTCGGTAGCTGTTGACTGACTTGCACACGAAGGATGGCACGCGCGACTGTTGGGCAAGCCTGGCAGAAAAGGAAAAAGAACCGCGCGGTGAACAGCCAGAGGATGCGCTGCAGTTGGCGAAACCAGGCAGTCGGCAGGATGTACCGCAGTAATGAGCGTTGACGATTGGGTAAGGACAGAATGTAAGTTGGACTGCGTTGCAACATGGTCACTCGCGCCGCCTTTTCGGCCATCTTGGGGAGCAATGTGATGGCCGTTGCGCCACTGCCAATGATGACAACGCGCTTACCGCTATAGTCCAGGTCCTCGGGCCAGAACTGCGGGTGAATTATTTGGCCGTTGAATTGAGTCAAGTTGGGAATGTCCGCCTGCAGAGGCTGCTGGTAATCGTAGTAGCCAGTGCCGAAAATGATGAACCGCGCCGACATCGACTGGGAGCGGCCTGCATGCTCGACAGCCAGCGACCAGCGTTTCTCTGAAGAGGACCAGTCGGCGCCCAGCAGACGATGCTGATATCGGATGCGCCGGTCTATACCCTTGCTGGCGGTGGCCCGGTGAAGATATCCGATGATGGACGAGCCCTCAGCGATCGGGTTGTCCTGGTCCCAAGGGTACCAGGCAAACCCAAAGGTAAAAAGATCCGAATCGGAGCGGATACCAGGATACTTGAAGAGATCCCAGGTGCCTCCGAGCTGGTCGCGTGCTTCAAGAATGGCATAGCGATAGTGAGGGAATTGCGACTGCAGGCGATATGCGGCGTTGATGCCTGATATGCCCGCGCCGATGATGAGGACATCAAACTGTTCTTCCATGGTGATGTGATAGGAAGTGTAGGTGGTGTGCGAGAAGAATTAACGACATTGAGGCGGTTGAAGAGACAGAATTATATCGATTCTGAATCGACTCACATGGCCTCGGTCAAAGGATGTTTTTTGGTGTTCGTCCGAGGTTGAAGCCAAAATGCGGCCAATTTTGGGTTTTTGGCTCAACGCCGAAATCTCAACTTCAGGGCGGTTGGTTCATCCTTGCCCAAAATGGTAACAGTTGCGATTCCCCTCACATGTCGACTCCATTTCGGTCCCCCTTTCCTGCAACTCGGGCATTTGTTGATATCTTTCTCCTATCACATTTATTCCTCATGTTGCACACATTGTGCTGCATATGCTACCGTTGTGTGACCCCCGGCCACAATGACAGCTCTCTCTTTGTTCCAGAAACTCGACTGTCTGCCTGCTCTCGCGGCGCTTATTGGTACTATCCTCTGGGCTTTGGTGACCAGTCCCTGGCGAACCCATCATTATCCTTCAACTCTGCTGTTACACGTGGGTTATGCAGCCATGCGCAAGGCTACATCACGCTTCTCAGTGGCCCAGCTGCAGTATGCTTCTGCGTTCTCTCTATTCATTAGGAGACTAGCTTGGCTGACGGTGAGCGGGTTAGATATCTGCTTCCTACCACAGATACCATCTACAAGCGCTTCATGCGCCGCCATCGTCTGCCCTCGAAGACTGTGGATCTTGGCGAAGGTGCCCTGGGACACTGGCTGGGGGACTATGAGCATTCTGAGCGTGTCTTGATCTGGTATCACGGTATGTGCACCTCGTCCCACCAAGTCAAACGGTCCTCATGGTATTCTAGGAGGTGGTTTCGCCCTTCCGGCCAACGACGGCTATTTTCATTTCTTCACTCAACTACTCGCGGATAACCAATCTAGGCCGAAACCCAAATCACTTGCGATCTTTACCCTCACCTATACCCTCGCTCCTCAAGCGACCTATCCCACCCAGATTCGCCAAGCCCTTTCAGCACTGCGATACATCCTCCAGGAAACCAACCGCTCTCCGTCGCAGATCCTCCTCGGCGGTGATTCCGCCGGCGGGAATCTCGTCGGGGCGGTCCTCGCGCACATGACCCATCCCCATCCCAATCTTCCACCTCTCTCTTTGTCCGACGGGCCCGACCACAAAATCCGCGGCGCCATCATGATCGCGCCCTGGACGAGTCTCGACCAGACCATCCTACCCGATGATGTTGCTGTCTCGATTGAACTGGACGAGTCAAAGATCGACTCTCGGGGCGATATCATCACCCCGTCCGTAGGCGGTCCATGGGCTAAGGCGTACATGGGTACTGGCAAACATGACTACTACACCGATCTCTCGACGGCGCCAACCGACTGGCTGGTGTCTTTCCCTGTGGAGAAGGTATTGGTCTGTGCTGGGGAGAGAGAGATTATACTGCCTTTCATTACTGCATTCGCCAAGAGGTTGCAAGCAGGGCTTGGGTTGGATAAGGTGGAGTTGTGCTTGGGTGAGGGTGAAGGTCATGTGGCGCCGATCTATAATCTGGCGCTGGGCGAGTGGGGGGAAACAATCCAGGGGAGGAGGGTGAAGGGGTGGTTGGCAGAGGTGCTGTGACTGTACTAATGATGTGGCTGCAGCAAGGGCCTTGTCGGTCATTTGATATAGTCATTCTCAGACAACGTATTCAATAAATTACACAAGTATTTCTCGGTCATTGCGGGATCTAGGATCTCGGGAAAGGCTGGCGTAGTGATGTGGCGGGGTCGGATCGAAGCATCGAATACTGATCATGTAATCTCCTGGTCGCATTTCAACACGCAATCGACCGGACCCCGAGGCCCCAAGAAACACTCTTGTATATGAGCATTCTGGATGTCCATTGGGGACAAAAAAGAAAAGGACGCAAAAAGAGATACTGCTCACACTCGGACTCGAACCGAGGATCTCAGCATTACTAGTGCTGCGCTTTACCATCTAAGCCATGCGAGCTGATTGGATGCTAGGACTATGATCTTTAATTATATGTAGTTGATTTCAATGAAGAGTGATGTGTATTTGCCCTGCAATTGTGTGGAGGAAATAATTATATACCCCTAAACAAATCTTCATCTACTGCATTCGGCATTACCCATACTTGCTACGAGTGTGAACGAACCTCAATAGAGTAATCATTACTCCATATAGCCACAGCAAGAAATGTTTCTCCTATAAACATACTGTTCACACGATGAGACAATCAATCAGGATGTCAAGATAATATATATACATGTCCGGTCTTGTTTCGCTGTATTCTAACAATACCTTCGAATAATAAATACATTAACACCAGGTCCACCAAAGCTTGTACTGATTACTATTTCATTCCGAGAACAGAGATATTATTCATGCTTTTACTGCCATCTATCCAGACATCTAGCTATTTATGTTTATGCGAGTGCCCGTGGTGGGCATGACCCCCGTGCATAAACTCGCTGATCTTCCTTTTCTTCTTCCCCTCCTCAGTCTTTTCCTCGACATCGTTATTTTCATCGTCTTCATCTTCAACTTCATCCTCATACTCCTCATCAACCGCAGGCCATTCTTCCCACCCATCCTCCCAGATTCCCGCCATCACCTCCTGCTTCTCCCCCCTCTCCATCTTCCGGCCCCTCATCACCTTTTCCCACCTCTTCATCTCCTTGGTGCTCAACAGACACTCATTCAGCAGACCCGTTACCCCGTCTACATCCACCCCTTCCCCAATGAACACAATCTCCTGCCGTCGATCGCCCCACTCGCCCTGGAAATCCTCCTCGATGGATTTGCGCACGTCCCCGTCCTCGGGCCACGCCTCGTCCGGGACCTCGGCGAACCACGGACCCCCGCAGTTCAACGTCAACATGGCGCCGGCCTGGCTCCATTCGCCGAACTGGTAGGGTCGAGTGGCGAGCCAGAAGAAGCCCTTGGAACGCAGGAGGGGTTGAAGGAGGGGGTGCGCGCGTTTGTTGGCTAGAATCTCTTGGGGGGTGGGCTGGGTCGGGTCTTCCTCTTCTTCCTCCTCTACCTCCGAATCGGAGTGCATTTCCGTGTCGGATTCAGCGGTAGCGTCTTGTTCCTGGTCCTCCTCCTCTTCATGATCAGCACCAGAATCATCAGCCGCATTCTGTAGGATAATGAACTTGTCATGAAGCAGATTGTATAATCTGCGAGGATGGAAAGGCCGTCGCGCAGTGTAGACGAAGTTATTGATTCCATACCTGTTTTCCCACGGGGGAGGAAAGAAATCGATCAGCAAATCATCCGAGGATATTCTCTCTGAGTTGAGAGACGGAACGGAACAAACCGCAGAACGGTGAGGTAGGTCACCAGGGGATTGGAGAACTTACTCCAAAGTCTCAGGCGTAGGCGCCCACCTCTCCTCCCCATTCCCCATCCTCAATTTGCTCATCTCATGCAAGCTGCGCAACCACCCGGCCCCGGACGCCGCCTTGAGGAAGTCAAACCGGCCCGTGCCCAGGATCTCCTTGACGTCCACGCGGGAATAGCTCGTCTGCAGGACCTTCGCCGACGGGTTCAGCGTCGTCACGAGCCGCATGATCCGGTCGCGGTCGTGCGGCCGCGACGCCAGCATATCCATCTTGTTGATGAGGATCACGTCCGCGAACTCGATCTGGTCGACCATCAGGTCGGAGATGGTGCGTTCGTCCTCGGGAATGATCGTGTCCGCACCGTAGCGGTCAGACAAGAAGTCGGTGGTGTCGAGGTTCGAGAGGAGGTTGAAGGCATCGATGACTGTTACTGTCGTGTCGAGGGTGGAGAGATGGTGGAGACCACCGAGGGTGTTTCTGTGGGCAAGTGTTAGTGGATAATTGCTCCGGCCGGGGGGGGGGGCGGCGCGGGCATAAAGAGGTAGATGGTGAGGGAAGGAAGACTTGGGTAGCAGTACATCTGATGCAAAATCTTCTTGCCTTCTTCGTCTAATACACCTCCCTCAGCTTCGGCTTGAACCATCGCGGCGCTGAACTCCGCTGTGAATGTCTCGGCCACTTG